TTTTTACCCCCAGTGTTGAAAATTACATAAAACAAAATGTCAGTTAAATGTAAATCAGTTCTATTAAAGATCGGTGTATCTACCGCTTTAAAAAAAAGTTTCTGTAATAAACTCTTGCTCTCAGTATAAACTTGTAATTACAAATTTGCTGCTACATCAATGCAAGCTTAAAAATTTAATTATATCACATTTTGAAATTTTACTGAGCAAATTGTTTGTTTGTTGTTATTTGTTGTTTTGACGAGTGAAAACTGAACTTTTCTCATTTTTAATCAGATCAGGAGAAATGTGTTTTTCTTTCAATTTACAAGATTTTGGCCTAGTTCTACGACTCTAACTTGCGTTAGACGTTAAGCAAGGACTAAATAAACAACGGTCCTAAATTCTCATCTTATGTAATTTCCGCACACCTCCTCTGCTTCGCATCGACTTCCGCGGCCAGTTCCTAAATTTAGTTACCAACACTTGGAGCTTCTTAACTTATTAAAGCCCACTAAAAACTATAGAGTTTATGTAACCTATGCAAAAGTTTACGTAGAATTTGCATGAAGGATGTAAATAAATTCAAAGGTTAGATTTATCACAGGCTATTTTGCAGGAAACGTTCGTGTTGTATCTAAGAACAATGCATGAAAAGCAGCTGCTTTTATATGACGTGAAGAATGACCGGTTTTGGCAATTATTTCGAATTTATCGGAACGGGTTATATTGCTAAAATTTATGAGACAGGATTGTGTCGCGCTTGTGAAAACGATGGTTTTAATCGGGCCTTGAGGGACTTTCTCTAAACTTCACCGGCAAAGGGTTAATACCTGTGTTGAAAAATGTCACGGGATATGTGGAAATTTTAGCTGGAAGACTAATTTTTTCATAATGTAAGGGAATCTAATAAAACTAATATAATAGTAAATTCGAAATGTAGTAAAATTGGTATGGTATAATAAAATTTTTACGCTGCACGTATTTTATGACAAAAGTTTTAAAATCTTTTCGATGCATTTCAATAAAACAGAATCGGATGATTTATGACTAATAAACAGTCTTTACTGCTGCCTGTGTCAACCTTTTATTTTGTATCACTTTTTTATCTAATTAAATTTTTGGATGATTTGTGTCGAGCTAAAGCTTGCTTTCTTACAAAAAGGCCCAAACGTGTCCGATTTGGGACCGTGTCGAGTTAGCAAACGGCATTTGATGAGATTGGAAACGAATAGAAATACAGTGTTGGTTTCGTGTCTTAGATTTAGTTAACCGGAATCATCCCTTGAGCTTTCTATTTCTTATGCAATTTGAGAGAAATTTTTTGTACATTAAAATTAATTAATACTTTCTCACTGGGGCAAGTTTTTTTTATTTAAATAAAATAAAAGAATTGCCTATTCCAGCGCTAGGTCTAATAAAGAGAAGATGCACAGTAATGGGCTGCTCGAGAGTCGCAAATCAGTTATATAAATAAATAACAGCAGTATTGATCGTCGATAATCTCTGTTTTGACATACCTACAGTAAGTAATCTGTTTTTTTTTTGCTTAGGTTGTCACAAAATCCGGCTCACGTCTACAAATTGATGGATGGAGACATTACGCTGTGGTATTAATGGATCCATTCTCAATCAAATATTAAGCCATTCTCATGAGTTCGATTAATGTTCATAGTTTTTGTGTTTGCACATTGTTATCGATTAATTTCAGAAAGTGGTTTTTGCGAGCACTGAATTTTCAAAATCGAGTCCATATTAAACAAAACAAACCGACTGAAAGTAGAACTTGTGTTGTGCAGATATAAAGACGTAAAGACATTTCTGAATAAAATTTTGTTGCTTCTATTTTGTACATAATATTTTCAGGTACTTTCTAATTTTCCAGAATGTTTTAAAGAACTTTCAAAGTAGTATTTTTGCGATATAGAAACAACCAACTCACGATTGCGATTTATATTTCACATCAGGAAAATAAAGTTTCAGAATAGCTTGTCCCATTTATTTATTTTATGTCTCACTACGTTTTTATTTTTGGATATAACATATGTTAACGTGTTTGTATTAGTTTAAAATATGGAGTTGCCATTTTAAATATTTTGTAATTTTTTTATTTTGTATTCAAAATTCTATGTATTTAAAAAGTGTGATTACAAGTTTAAAATATAGAAATTTTCAAATGCTAGCTGCTAAAATTTTTAATTCAATAAATTTGTGTTTTAGCTCTAAAATTGTGTAAACTAGTTTTCGATAGGTATAAATGCAATGTCAGATTAAATCAAATTTAATATAACAACGGTTGTTTTGCTGATGAGTTGATTCAAAACTATTATTTTAAAATTTAAATGAATTAAAAATGAAATTATTATAGGTCTGCAAAATCTGCTAGCAAATATGATTAGTTTAAAAATAAAAAAAATTATCACACTTTTAAATTCCAAATCGTATGTTTAAGACTTGAAATCTGCGGTGAGATGGAACTAAGGAAATCAATACCTGCCGGTTAATAATAATTGTCATCGTGCGTAGCCAGTTATTTGCCGTTAATTAATTGGTTTCACATCACTGTCAAAAGTGATCTTTAACTAGGTATGTTTGGCGTCAATTAAATAATTGTCATCTAGCAAATTGTCACCGTTTGCTTTTTATAAATTGTTCCACCAATAACCTCGAAATTTAATCCTCTTTTATATGTAAATAAGTAGCGAATAAAGTGAAATAGCACGCGACTGTTTACAATTAAAGCAATCATTACGTAATCTCTTTCCATAAACTGAGCTGAAAATTTTCCGACTTTGGGTAATCTATATCTTGAATATCATGTTTCCTGTCGCATCGTGAAACTCGGCAAGATGAATGACTTCTTGGGCTTGGGCAAAAAGTTAGAAAGCTTAGCGGCGTATGGTGCTGGTAACGTGGCATTTAAAAGGCGATTTATATTGCAAAAAAGGGCGTAATACGATTTTATACTTAGCGCTTTTGTACGGAATGGATTTACACACGCAGTTTCACGCTGCGTCGGCTTTCAGCCGAAATTATTGTGGCAGCTTTATTTTCGATTTATGCAAGAATAGACGTAATCAATTAATCAATATTACTCACTGAACTTGTTAATGGATAGACCATAATGTAGCGTCGAAAGTTTCAAACTTTGCGATTCACCTACTAATTCATACAGGTTAAATTAACCCCAATTCTTGGCTGCGATTCGGGCTTTTTACCTCCTGAAATTACTTCGCTGCTTTATTTTAATTAATGGCTGCTGCACCTTTGATGCTTCTACCGTTTGCATAATATTTAAATTTGGTGATAAAGTAGCAACTTACTAGATACTGTCGCTACGCACTGGTTGAAATGCTTTTGTTAAAACAGAGATGCAAAACGTAGTCAAAGCTTTAACCAACAAATGAATCAAAATTAAACTAACAAAAAATTAAATTAAATCAAAGAGAAATATTTCTATATGTTTACTAAATTTTAAAACTTTAATACATGAGTAAATTAAACACATTTTTTGTATTTTTGATGTTGTACATGCTTTTTAAACAGCTTGGATTAGAAAATAATTACGCTCACCGCTATAAAATTCGATCCATACTTTATTTTCTCAAAAACATTTTCGATTTTTTTTTGGTCAGAGAACTTTCAAACAGAAATAAGATGTACCGGTTGTTCGGTAAACACACTGGTTGTGAACACGTACCTATGTAGATGAGGTTGAAATTCAACGTATGAGATGGCCAGTGCAAAGATCTGACTTAAAACTTATTGAACATATTTAGGATATGTCGGAAGGCAGGTTGGACGCAAAGTTCCTGCTCCAATAAGTACGAGAGAGCTAAGTGTGACAGTAGCCCATATTTGGGAAGAAATTGACCAAAAGCGATTAGACATTTTATTAAAAGAAGGCGACACAATTTTTGTTTAGGTCTTAATTCTTAGGATTTAATTCTTTTGTAAAATTTTGCAATATTTTTGATATTGGAAACAGTTGTTTAATTTACGCTTCATTTTGTTTATATACGCAATTGTTTTAAATTGTGTGATGTAAAGTTACCAAAATATTGTTGTCTTTTAAAACAAAATTTAGTTAAGCAAAATTAAGTAAAAATGATGGATCGGATTTTGTGCCGAAGAATGTATTAATTTGTTTCATATTAGGTTGATTTATCTAAAACTGCTTTGATTGTGCTTAACATATACTCAGTACACGAGTAGTCAATAATATTTAACCTAATATTGATACTAAATTGTTTAACACATATTTTAGTGGCTATATGTATAATCCCTACAGTACTTTGCAAACACATGTAGCAGACGTATTTACTTATTAATTACGTGTATTTTAGACGTAATATCGTTATATTTTTCTTTGGTAATTGGTATATTATTTCAGATATATTTTTGTAAGAAACAAACAAAATTATTCAAGTTTATTAGCGGAAAATAATATATTATCAAATACGTGGATACACAAAATTATTTAAATTGAAATGGTCATTAAGTTTGTTTACATTTGGTCGATTTCCCTATTTTGATTAAAAACGGACCCAATATTCGAAAACAGTGCCGTCAATTCTTGTGATAAATAATTCATTTTGTTTTATAAATTAATGTTTTGTGTTTGCGTTATTTATTGAATCGTCGAGTAAAAATCATGCCGAGCATGCGTTACGAAAGCTCGAAAAGCTCACGCAATGTCAACACGCAAGACTAATGAAAAGTTCTTCTCATTACCGGGCTTTATATAATGGAATTTTTTGACAAAAAAACAGAATTTTCAACGATACTAAATGACCGAGATTACCGCACAAAAGGCGTAATAAAACGTTGACCCCTCGAAATACAAGCGTCAAATTAATTTATGAAAATTCTAGTCCGGACTGTAATTAATTATCAGGTAAAAAAGCCACAAAAACAGTACCGCAGTGTGATTTTTTTAGCGGAATTTGCTCGCTCCAAGTCGCGTAATTGCACTCAGGTGATTTTTTCCCTAGCTTGACTAAATTTAAATGTTGTTTCAGGGAAATTCATCAATCACTTCGGCGGCCAAGTGGGAGATTACCAGACGAACCGTAAGTAAATCCTGTCTGCATGTGTAAGGATTGTGTTCCGAAAAAGAAGTTTGACGAAGTGCCGAATGGGCTCGGGTCATGTTCCGTGATATATGTAATAGACTATATTGATTTAGTTAAAGCTAATAAATCAAAACTGTCGATAACTTTATTATTTTAGCAACAGGGGATATTTTTATGAACGAAAGCTATGGCTTTAAGTGAAACTTACACAACTTTGCTCCTAAGATACGTAAATAAATATTTATTAAAAATTTACGGATGGATGAAACTCTGTTAAAACATTTGATCGAAACATCTTTTAAGGTGCTATAAAACGATCTCGAGAGAAAGTCGTAAAGTGTTATAAGTTTGTGCTACTGTTTTTCTTCCATTAACTTCTGCTTAGAACAATAAAAACACTTTTTTTCATAAGCTAGTGTCTAAAATTCAGCGTCAACATTGTTTCATCCCTTGTTTACTGCGGAGATTTTAAGAATTGAAAACTTAATTGGGGAAACATAACTAAACCAAATCTAATACACTCAAATACAAAAAAAATCTTTCAGAACATTTGACTTCAAAGATTTATTTTTTTTAATATTTTAAATTTTATATTGGTAAGTACGTGAATAATTTTTCTATTTATTGAGTTGAAATCGCCTTTCGCTGGAGTAGTGATATATTTCTCCATTACCTTGAATTTTTTTTTGTTCCAGTCTTATTTGTTTATGTTTGAATAATAAAACGGGGGTCTGTGGAAAACCTATTTAGTAATATTTTGTGAAGTGTATCGGATTTTGCAATTTGTGTAAAAGAATAAGAATAAAAATCTCAGGAAGCAAAAGCATGAAAGCACCCTTTATGTTGGCAAGTGAGAACAAAGAGTATTTTCTTGAAGTTGTATCAAATTCGCCACCGATTCAATCCAAACAATAGAAGCCCCGAAGGAAAAAAGCACTCGTTATTATTTTTGCGGAAGTCGAATGAATGTGACCTCTAAAAGAAGCAATTATCGCTGTGAATTTATGTGTCTCATTTTAAATCCGAACCGTCAAAACGAAATTGAATCCGATATTAAAATTTCGGCTATCTATAATGAAATCTTGATTGAGGAAAGTATATCGCAAGTATAATAAAAATCTGACGTTGCAAAAGCGCCAGATATGAAAGCATGACATTACGTGTCCCTGCAGGATCAGGAGTGGGATTTTTGCGTGAAAGATGAGTGCGAGGCCCATTTTTCGGTATCGATCCAGTCATATTGGACTGGCGATTTAATTCGAGATCTCATCGGCTTCCTCGTCATAACACTCGGCCGCTTCCTATATCACCCCTAAACTCGGATATGACACCGGACTATCCGGCAGGGTGCGATCCCTCACACGCAGCGCCGCCAACAATTATTGTTGCGGATAATGCGAATTAGCCGCTTCCTAATGAATTACGTGATGTCTTCGGCTGATGCCAACGCGCTTTTATTGGCCGGAGAATGACCACAACGCTAAAAAATCACCCACAATCTCATTTGACCACAATCAAAAAGCTCTCGACCGACACCTGAGGCCAACAGCTTCCTGTTACCACTTTTCCCATCCTTTAGACACAATTTTTTTCCATCCAGAGAGTAAAGTTGGTAACACAAATTTTTCAAATAACCTAATATACTCGTAACCTAATATAAATTAACAATATAAATCAATTCATTTTTATTCTTTTTTGAATATTCATTTTAAGAATAGTTACATTTTTTTTAAATCAAAGAATTAAAAATTTTGAACTCAAATTTGAAGCTCCCGAAAAAAATTATAATTTGTTTTGTGGTTTCTTAAAGCATGTGGATATTAAAGTTTTGAATTATATGCTTTTTAGGATTACATTATAAGTTTGATTTTTATTTTAACGATCTGGCACAAAAGTACAATACCTGCTCTCAGGCAGGTGCTTTAGAGTATCGTTATCTGGCTTATGAATTTATAATCGATACTTTGGAGGGTGCACCCTCAACTAGTTGATTAATAATTTAAACTTGCTTAATTAGATAACGTACGTTAAATTATTTGGTGGGACGGTTCGTTGCCTTTATTTTTAATAAGAGTTGACACATAACCGAGTTTATTAGCGTAGTGATTAAAAACTTCTCTAGTAGCTTTTCGAGTGAAAACATCTAAACAGCGAATATTTAATGAGCTATAAATTAACTTATTGACCGAGATTTTCAGCTCGTACATCATTTAAATCTGAAACTAACACGACACATAGAAATAAATTTACTCTAGAAAAGCAACATCATATTGCATTGGTATTGTATGAGGATATTGACGTACTGACGTATAGCCCCTGAAAGAAATATTCAATTTCCGAAAGTAAAATGATCAAATGAATAGAATGAATAGACATATTGCTGTAAAAGCCTTTTTGGATCAGCATTCAAAGTGTTTTTCTGGTTTTATGGATACATTCCACATTCGCAGAAATATGCAGTTTGCACTTTTCGTTGCGCTTGCAGTCTCATAAAACCATTTAAGCATATAATTAAGAATAATTTTGAGACATTGTTTTATACTTTTTTTATCAATCGTTATAACTATTATTTTAAAAGGAATACGAGTATTTACATTGTCGAGAACGTTTATATTTACAAAATTTTGCTATTTGTGTTATTAAAATATTTATAACAGTTTCCATGTGCTTTCGCGTTTTTTTATTGTTGTGAAATCGGTTGGATTTAAAACAGAAATATATAAGCTTCAATTAAAATATTCTACTTCTGAAGTTGATTTTTCAATATTTAATTAGCAGATTTTATTTAAAAAATGATTAAAGGAACAAGCATAAATATTTAAAAAGAGTGAGGAGCGGTAAAAGATTTCGTAACAGACTTCACTGTCTTGATTAAAGCCATTGAGAGGTTTTATTTATTTATATTATTAGAATTGCAAAAGAGAAGTCGCCGCTCTTGATGTAAAACGAAATGGTAGTTTCATGCCATCATAAACAGCATTATTCTATAACAATGACGTTAATTGTGATTTGTTTGCATATTGAGCGGTTTGTGAATGAGAAGCGTCTTTTTTGAACAAAGCGAAGGGCGGTCTGAATATCAAGCAGCGATGATTCGAAGAATTTTAGATAATAAGCACGGACAAACAGAAGAAGAGATATAATAGCAAAAGTGGTGTATTTAATGCGGACAAATACAGAGGGGGCCATAATCCAAATACGCCAACTTCTATTTTCATGGTTTCTATAAATCCGAAAATAAACACTACAGCTCTGACACAAATGCTGTTTATTTTCCTATGAGCTTATTAAATTTCGTAGCTAATTTATGCAGAATCTCAGAGGCGAAATTGGAAATTAAGTCTCGGCTGTAACGGAGGAACAATGTTCATCATTGTGGAAAATGTGCTGGTCTCGGTTCTGCTTCTAAATCAATTTTATTGCGGTGTTGCTGCAACGAATTGGATTGATCATGTCTTTTTTTCTCTTTCTTTTAACAAGAAACTTTCTGGATAGAGGGTTTTTGTTGTTGTTTTGGTATATTTGTGTACATTGGATGTCGGGTTTCCTCGTGAAATATTCGTATTTTCAGATAAAATAATCCAACATAAGCTGCAATTTCCTGAGCTTTGCCGGGGAGTTATTGACATTTCTTTACGTCGGAAAAAAAACATTTTATGAAAAATTCCACACTTTCGGCTCATGATGAGCAACCGGTTGGTATGTGGGTAATTTCCTTCACTTACACCGAAGTGTGGCATTTCACGAAAAAGTTTCGAATAAGAGCAATATCCGTTAATGGGAATATTTTCGAAACAACATTATCACGTCTATAGGTACGAGTACTTCCGCCATCTTGAAAATTACGACGGAAAGTCGTAAAAGAGCAACCGAAAAACTAAACAAGTAATTTTAATATTTTTACACAATGTCGCATTCGAGTATAAAAAGTTTTTAAACGGGACTCACACGCGTGTATCCCACGATGAACATTTCGCTTTTCATTTGCATATTAAACCAATTTTTCTAAAATTTTCCGACGCAGCAGGTCTGTTTCGTTTTCCTTTTGCTATGATATTTTATAAAGTTTGTCTTTGCTCAGCACGAAAAAATAAAAACTTTACAATATGCGCCAACTTTCGACCTCAGAACTTTCCACAATATTTCGTCATATTTAAGTACCTGTTGATAAGTTTTTCACCAATTCTGTAAAAATATATATGCTTTCTAGATTCCATATTCTCATTTGCAATTCATTATTAAGCTTGAGCCAATAGTGTTTTTGGTGGTCAAATAGATCCGCCGACTCTACTCTTTGCATACCTGAATTGTTAAGTGTGGCATATCGTTGTCGGCAATCAATTTTTGAACGAGCACGAGACTGAAAATTGAACTAATATTTGTCAAAAACGCACCTATACTCGATCCTTCTTTCATGCAGTTGCGAGTGGAGTATAAGCAAGACAAAGGGACGTCGTGTAGCACTTTTCAGGGGATTTCAGTATGTGTATCACGCAGAGTAGGGACACGCAGTCCGTGCTGCTTTGCATAATGACATACCGGCCCTTGAAAATCCGCCAAATTTGCAAAACGTTTATTCAAATGATCTGGTAAACCTCTCCTGTGAATATATCCTACTTAAGCGATACTCGGAAAATAAAATTAAACTTAAATTCCTGTATAATAACCCGAAGTGACAGAAGACGTGAGAGGAAAATTAAACTACAACGAGGATTTTTTCATTTTCCTTCACCAAACTAATTTGCGGAAAATTGGGTATTTTCTTTTCAATTACGCCGGATTTTACCCAAATATACAGCGGCAGCAGGAAAAATATTGCATGTACCCAACCTGGTTAAAATCACACGTCTTTTTTCTCAATTACAATAAGAAAGCAATTTCAAATTTAAATTGTTTATCAATTATCGCATTGGCCACGGACTTGGCATAAAATATGAAAAAAAAGTTAACCAAACCGCAATTTAGATGATTCATCTTAGGTAAAGTTCAGCAATTTC